AATGCTAAAAAATAGATTTTTTCCCCTTTTGTCCATAAAAGCCCTTTATTTTTTGACAGATGTGTTTCATAATTTTGGTAGGGAAAATAACTTTCATGATATTCTTTTTTTTTGACGAGGGAAAGGGGTTTAGTAAAAAAAAAGCAAAAAAAGCCAAAAAAAAAATTTTTAAATTTTTTTTTCACATTTGCTTTTTACAAAACCCTTTTTTTTGGGGTGAGTTTTTTTTTAGTGACTATTTGAAGAAAATGAAAAGGGTAAATTTTAGTCGGCTCGGGGGTCTGCATTGGGTTAAAATTTTTTGTAAAGTCCAAAAAATCTCAATTTTTACTTGAGCCCATTCAATTAAAACTTACAATACCTTTTTTTAGTTTAAAAATGTACATTTAGACTGACAAGTTTTGGGTAACTCTGGCCTAAAAATATTTACAGAATTTTGCCAATTTTTTAAATTAAAAATTTTGGTTAGTCAAATATTCCCCAAAGTTATTGGCTTAAAAATATTAATTAAAACTTAACCAAACCTTATAATTAAAATAACCAAAGTACATCAAAATTTGACAAGTGGTTTAAACCTTTTTTACAATTATCCAAAAATTTTTCAGAATTTATTTCCCCCTTTTTTAAATTGGGAAATTTTTTTTTAAAATTTTGTTTTAAGGTCAAATATTTCCAATTAAGCTTGAGATATTCAAATTTTTCCCAAACTTTTTTTTGTAAAATGTAAAAAAACAGTTTGCAAAGTTTCAAACTCTGGGCCCGCAATATTTGGGAGAAAATTAAAATTTCCCCTTTTTAAAAATTAGAAATTTTTGGGAAAAGGGAATTCCCCAAAAAATATTTAAATTTAAACTTACACATTTTTACTTAGGGGCCAAATCTCAAGAAATTTATTATCTGGCCCTGTATTTTGACCCGAAATTAAAGCTCCCCCTTTTTTAAAAAAAAATTCCCTTTCTTTTTTTTTAAATTTTTAAAAAATGCAAGTTTTTCAAAAATCTCTGAAACCTTAAATTAAAAGATACAAACTTGAAAATTCATATGTAATTTTGTGGTATAAATAATGAAAAAAGCACATATCCTTTTGTCATTGGGACATGTAAATTTTGGCCTGATTTATCTCCCCCCTTTTTTAAATTAGTCTCTTGGTTAATGTTTAGATGTAAGTTTTACATATCTCAATAACTATCAGAGATTTGAAACTTCACATATGCATGAAGGGTCATAATTGTATGTCACTTACCAAGTTCCATAACTCTATCTTGCATTTAGGCTGATTTATCATTCATAATAATAAAGCAGTGATTTACTTGATGAAACATCTTAATAACAAGCCTTTGTACCTTTTCGGTCAATTATATGTATTCATCGGTAAGCATTATTATACTCAATAAAACACCTGTGGTGACAACTTTTTCGAATAGTCGAGCCTTACTGTCCTCAGACAGTTCTTGTTTATATTTGGTAGGATGATAACTTGTATGGTCTTCTTCCTTTGGATTGAGGTAGGGGTCAGGCTTTTCCCCAAGGGCTTTAAGCACCATGCTCCCGCTGTGCCTTAATCTCCAAATCAATCTCACCAATGTGCCATAAAATTCATCGCAGAGCTTGATTTTTCCGATCTCTATCATTCAATGGTTTATTATTTTGTTTAACGCTTTCATTAAATCTGACAATAAACACATTGGTGGTCAATTAGCATGTGTGACAGCAGATTAACAGGTTGTTTACGCCTGTTTATAGGGTACAATAAATTCAGTCTGTAAGAAGTCCGTCTGTCCTCGGTCCTGGCTTACATGTACTAAAAATGTACAAATTTTGAAATTTTGTATAACCCATGAAGAAAAATCGTAAAATAATAAATAAATATTTAATCTGATATTATCAAAATCAATAATAACTAGAATGGTGAATGTTTTTTTGCAGAAAACAGACAAATTTTCATTTGTCACATATTTTCATGATGCGCTATTAATAATTAAAAAAGGGTTGCAAAAATCTTTTGTGTGTATTAACACTTAAAATGGAGTTTATGAATGAAATTTCATAAGGTATTGTTTACATTGGTTGAGATGGAGATATTTGCCAGTGTGTGTTTGTTATATACTTACAGGAGGGGAGGATGGGGTTGTTGATTGAATCAGGTAGAAAACAGCATAATGGTCTGATGAGGATGGGTTTTGGACATACATGTATAACCATTTTCCTAAATAAGCTTTTTCATCTGTTCAAACTCTGATGCCCTCACCCCTTACTTGGATTAGTTAAAGTATTGAAATAAAAGTATGGAACTGTAAATATGTAAATAAGGAAAGAACTTGTGTGTTTTAAACAGTGAAGAGTGTCTGTGTAGATAAACAGTTAATGCATATATTGTATATAAAAGGGTTCTTTCTTCCATTGTATTGTTCATCTTAATTTTATGATACACAGTAATTAAGTGAAATAACAATTGTTTGTTTGTTTTGGGTTTTTACGTCACATTGACACAGTATAGGTCATATCGCGACGTTCCAGCTTTACTGGTGGAGGAAGACCTCAGGTGCCCTTCTGTGCATTATTTCAGGCACGAACCGCACCTGAGTAGAACAACCGACTTCACTTTTGCCGATAGAGCCTTTATTTATGGACCGAATTTGTCTTTCATGTTTGGTTGGAAGATAACTTGCATGTTTTTCCTTTCAATTGAGTTTGGGGTCAGTTTGGTCAAGGTCAAGAAGGCCAATAAAAGATTTCTACACATTTGCTAAAACAACCTTTATTTCTTACTGATATTTTTTCATATTTGAAAGGATGATAACTTGCATCCCTGTATTGAGTTAGGGGCCATTTGAAAATAGATTTTTACACTTTTTTATACAGCCTTTGTTGTTTTTTTACCACCAATGTCTCATACTTACATGGAATATACCTAATGTGGTCTTTTTATGTTTGGATGGAGTTTAGGGTCGCTGGGTTCAAGGTAAAGTCTTGCATTTACATGACTGTGTATATAATTATAAATACGTTCTTTTTTGTTTTATTGTTATAGACAAGGCATGCAACATCCAAGTGCTAAAATTAAGGGTACCATAAAATCCCAAATTAATGCCCCCGGGGCGTAACATTTTTCAAAAGGGGGCGTTTAATATAGGTTAAAAAAAAATCTTTAAAAAAAATCTCAAAAAAAAAAAATTAAATTATCTCTTCAAACGATGTAAAAAATATCCACACACACATCATCACCCTGTCAACCCATGATACCTTTGATCTACACCGCTCTCTCTCTCTCTTATTTTCTAATTTTCCTAACGGTACAACACATTCAACTCAAACTAGACATATGGATAAGTCAAAGGAATGGGCAGGTCAAGTTCAAATTTAGTCATGGTTCAATGATTTTTGGGAGAGTTATGCCCCTTTTACTTTGAAAATAATATGAAATTTTCAGTTTCCGTTCATTATCTCCCCAACAGTGTTACATATTCAACTCAGATTTGACATATGGATATGTGAAAGGAATGCGCAGGTCAAGTTTGAATTTTGTCATGGTTCGCTGATTTTTGGCAGAGTTATGTCCCTTTCACTTTGAAAATAATATGAAATTTTCAGTTCCCATTCATTATCTCCCCAACAGTGTTACATATTCAACTCAAATTTGACATATGGATATGTGAAAAGAATGCGCAGGTCAAGTTTGAATTTTGTCATGGTTCAATGATTTTTGGTTATGTCCCTTCAACTTTGAAAAAAAGGAAATTTTCAGTTCCCATTCATTATCTCCCCAACATATTCAACTCAAATTAAAGATATGGATATGTCTTTAGAATGCATTGGTCAATTTCGAATTGGGTCATGGTTTGATGATAGCTGACAGAGTTATCCCTCTTGAACTTTGAAAAAAAAATCAAAAAATTTAAGTTTCCGTTCATTATCTCCATAATGGTTGTACACATTCAACTCAAATTTGACATATAGATACATCTTAGGAATAAGCAGTTCAAGTTTGAATTGAGTCGTCAGGTTCAATGATTTTGGACAAATTTATCTTTCTTGAATGTTGGAAAAATTTTGAATTGTCAGTTTCAGCACTCATACTTTTGTGGAAATGTATGTAGCCATTATTTTGGCTACAAATATGCAATATGCAATTTACAAAAGGTTAAGACTGAATAATTTCAGTGCCTTGAACATTGTATAAAAATGGTTTGTGTTAACATTGAATAGTTTTAAGGGCTTTGAACTTAAAATGAAAAAAATAATTTGTGCAAACAAATTTGGAACTAAATATTATAACATCTGAACTTTTGGCTGCATGCGGGGGCATTTTATCAGGATTTTAGGGTATGTCAATTCTTGGTGTCAAATTTTCCACTGGTTGGTAATAATGTAGGATTTTTGCATTGAATCAATGCAATATATATTTTTCTATGGAAACTGACTATGAATAGATTCTTATTTACATGCAAATTACCGCAGTAAAGCCCGGAAGTAAGAAATCACCCAGGTCCAAAAGATGAGACTGTCATAATATGTACTTAATGTAGCCTGGTATTTACAATTGAAATGCATTAACAAAGAGATCAGATGAGTCTAACGCACATGCAAACAACTGGATTTTACATACTTTTAAATAGTCTTATGCTCCACAAGTGACCTATGTGCCTGTATTTTAAGAAAGATTCTACTTGTAGAACTGAAGGTAATTCCTAAGTCGAAAGTGTTCTCCCACAACATGTGCGTGGTTCCCCATTCAGTTCTATGTTAATGTATGTGAAACGGAAGCCGGAGATTACTTCTGGTAGAAATTACCTTCTACAAGTAGAATACAGGCACATACATGTAGGACTTAGTGCCACTCATGGAGCATAAGACCATTTAAAAGTAACGTCAAATTGACCTAAGCTTGTATGTCAAAATGGTTTCTGACCAATAAATTGACAACCAATTGGCCCTCAAACTTCTTAGAAGCATTGATCTTCAGGGCAGTAAAATGTATGCCAAAACAGTTTCTGAGCAACATTGCAACTTCGGACATGCTGACAAGGACATGCAGGTTTTACAAACATCACCAATTCTTATTATATTTTTTTTTAGAATCCTGCACTGAAAAAAGTGGAGCAGACTGCTTTTTAGAAAGTTTAAGGTCTGTTTAATATATCATAACTTTTATTATAACATCACTTTTGCATTTTGATAATTTGTAATAAAGTAATTAATATTGCATCAGCTCTTTTGTATGGTATTTGTGAGTGATAATAATGTATTTATACTCCTTTTTTATTTCAGGAAAGATCAAATACTCTGTAACCAAATGCCCATGATGAGTAACCAGCCATTCAACATCCCCAGCATAGCTGAGGATCTTCGCCGGGATGAGACTATTCACCAGATTGTAGATTCCCTTGAATACCTTGACAAGATTGCCGATGAAATCTTCACTCGTATTCACACCAGAGTCGCAAATAACCAAGCTAACTTACAAAAATTAAATGACAGAGTGAGTCTCGCTGAAGCAAAAATAAGTAAGATTAGCGGAAGTAAAAAAGCAACAAATGTCTTCGCTTCTGCTAAATATCCTGCACCTGACACAACAGAATTTTATGAAACCGTATTTAAACCAGAAAATAAATTGAAAAGTCCAAAGAGACAGAGTTATCATGTACAGGATAAACATAAGACTGTAGACGAGAGTGTGTTGAAGGAGAAGCTACAGTATTATCATGTTAAAGGAGGTAGAAAGAAAAAGAACGACCAAAATCGTGGAGAGGGTCTCGGTGGACTGCCCAGAGAAATACCATCTGTCAGTGCCTTACTTCTATTTAATACTTCTGAAAATCCGTAAGTCATGGCATTTTATCATTTTTTTAAATTTCTTAAAAAATTAATTGTAAGTTCATTTTTGAAAAAAATTTGTAATGAAATTTAAAAAAAAAGAACTAGCAAGCACTTTAGAAAAAGTTTTCATTCCTTATTACATTGAAGACATAATATATTTAGATTGTTCAAACATGTTTATTTAATTTTGCTTGTGAACATATTGCTTGCAAATTCTTTTAATATGTTCATGAACCTTACACAAGTTACTGTCATGAAAGGGAATTTAACAATTTGAAGGTAACAGAAGATCCTATAGGTCAGTTTTGAAATTCAGCATAAAAATGTGGTGACGAAAATTTATGGTATGAAAGTAACGTCAAAATATGTATATTAAAGTTTTCAATTTTGATTTTAAAAATTACTGATTTATTCATCAAAAAGCATTGATAATCTTTTGAATATATAATGCTGTTTACAGGTATAAGAAATATGTAATCAAGGATCCTCTAGGTGTGGTCACTAAGACTAGAACAGCGTTAGAAGAGGAGGATTCTGGGATGGCAGATGCACCAAACACAATCAAAACAAATGAAGAGCTGCAGCATTTACAAGCAGATAATTATTTCTATGTTCCAGGAATCGGAGATGTTCCAGAGCTTGATTTGCCTATAGCACTGCCAAATCTATTAGGTAAATTAGTTATGATTATGTTTACCTAGTTTAATATAAATACGAGGGTTGTCCAAAAAGTTCGTGCACTGCAGTTATTGTCGTCAGAGATATTAATAAAAACAAATGAATTATATATCACTTGAAGGGGAAATCTGTCTCAAATAAGAAAACAAAAGAAAAAGCCAAGTAATGGGCGTGTCATGTAAAAGAATGGTCATTAAGTTACCTTAGTAACGTAATACCGGCGCACGACAAAAAATTGGGAAAGTTCATAACTGTTATTGTATTAATTGTTTGTTGCTTGTAAAGTGGCATTTGCTTTTTATGTTATAATTTGTTTTACTGTCAATAGAGGAATGATTGATGCAAAGTATTTTATAGTTTTTATTGTTCTTATGGAACGTACATGTAACATATTCCACCAGTACACGAATATATTGGACAACCCTCGTCACATGCGCCGGCTTTACGGACGGACGTCTGCCTGACGATTGTCATCGTCTACCGACTCTCGCCCTTCTTCAGAGCGTTTGTGCCATTTAAAAACCAGCCTTCGTGACACTGAACTTGTCCCGCTTGCCATTTTAAGTTCTTTGTAGGTATGGGTTGGTGTTGTACCAATATTTGCACAAAATGTAATGATCGTCCGTATTTCCAGCCGTTTAGAGACTGACATTTTCACGTAATTACAGTATTGACGACCTCACAAAAATGTGTGTTAACGACCGTTACAATAGGGCAAATGTCATAATATTTTCTAGTGACGTTAGAAATATGTACACACACTTTTCCCTGAGATTTAACTTTCATATGTAGTGTTAAAAGAATACCGTGATGCCTCAAATTAATGAACTAACCCATTTTTTTGTCGTGCGCCGGTATTACGTTACCAAGGTAACTGTATGACGATTCGTGTTCACGACATGCCGATTACATGTTTTTTTCTTTTGTTTTCTTATTTCAGACAGATCTCCCCTTCAAGTGATATATAATTCATGTTTTTCTATCAATAACTCTCACGACAATAACTGCAGTGCACGAATTTTTTGGACAGCCCTCGTATGAGCCGCGTCACGACAAAACCGCGCAGTCTGATCAGGATCCATGCTGTTCGCTTACCAACCCTTTTAGTTTTACGAGTAGAGGAAATAATAGCAAACAGCATGGATCCTGATCAGACTGTGCGGATGCGCAGACTGGTCTGGATCCATGCTGGTCGCAAACCCATTATGTTGGTATTGTCATGACGCGGCTCATATATATATTTGAATTCTCCTGTGCAGTTTTATTCAATCTGAAAAAGTTGTATGAACATGTAGGTCATATATACATGTAGTTGATAAATATTTTAGTGGCTCGGGTTGTATATGAAAACAATATTTCTATACAACCTGTCGAGTATTATTATAAAAATTTATTATTCAACATATTTCCTTTTTTAGAGAAAAAAATGAGATTTCTTCATAAATTGACTTCAGCTGTGCATATAAAACTACATAAACATCACAGTTAGCCAATGAAAAGATCTGTTACAAATGTACAGTATTAAAATTTACTATATATATATGGTTGTATCTAAGTTTGTTAAAGAAAATTAATGTAAAGAAGATACATGTAAGTTTAGAAATTGTACTGCAAAATGATACTGCCAGTAACTTTTTGCAAATCCGATTTTCCCACCATTAATTTCTTTTACATGTTGATACTAATATGAAATGATACCACCAGCAATATTCGTATTATTCCATAAAACTTAAAGGTTTAGTTGGAAATTTTGTACATGTATATAAGTATATATGAAGGGAAATATTGTAGATATTCTATATATTATATAAATGATACTATTTCAGTGTTTTTTTTCTCTACATTGGGAATGGTGCCGGTACCAGACTGATTGGGAAAAAATGCGTTATTTTGACTAAAATTTTGAATTTTTTTAATGCATTTTTTCAGCTACAAATGAGATTAGACATCATGAATAAAGATAGCTAACAGCTTCTACTGTCCAGATAGAACTATTGAGTGGTGATTTATATGAATATGTTGGATTTAAATGATTTTAGAAAAATCACTTTGCATTGTGGGCATTTTGAACAGCCATTTTGGGAATTTAACATTGGAAATTGGGAATTTTAATGTCTATTTTCTATTGGGAATGGTCCCGTTTTAGGGTAGTAGTTATATAAAGAAAAAAAAACACTGTATTTCTTGTTATAGGAGTTGCTGATGATGTAACATTCAGTGCTGACCAAGATAGCTCTATTGCACCAACTGTGATGGGTGGTAACATTCCAGACTTGCCTTCAGTTGTACCAACAACTGAACCTCTACCAGCAGGTCCAGCATCAGAGGGTGGACCACCGCCCCCACCGTCTGGACCTCCCCCGCCGGAACCACCACCACCTCCACCCCCTTCTGGGGCTCCACCCCCACCACCACCGCCACCACCACCAGGTATGCTCTCTTATAGAAAATATTACACAGTTACATGTAAATATAACTCAAAATTTAGCATTTCTTAATAGAGACAGTATTTGAACATTTATTTAATTTGAATGGCTAGGTTACTGTCAAATGATTTGGTGTAAGTTTTCTGAAACATAGATATTTAATATCATCTATTTATTGTGTTGGTTGAATACATTGCATATTGATTCCATGTAGTTTTATACTGCATTTTAAAGTTGATTTTAATTGTGCATGTGGTAAGAATTATCCCTTAACTCTTTCATGGATTTTGACTGAATTATACCCATTTGTAAACTTGATAATGCCTAGTTGTGTATAGATTTGCATGCAAGTTCTGTCTCCCAAACCTCATATCTTCACACCAATATTCAGAGTCGTAGGTGGCTGTCAAAGATTTAAACAAATAATGGGAAATTCCCACACTGTATGCAAATTTAAGTGTAAAAATGCTATAAATATACACTATTACTTGATTACAATTAAGAACAAATACGCATGCCGTATGTTTAATTTTAATGTATTAATTTAAGCTCGATGGCAAAACAAGTTCTTGCATTAATTACTGCTGGGTCCACTTCCTGGAACCAACCTGCAGTACTCAACCAGGGTTGAGAGGCAGGCACCTTAACCACTAGACCACCGATATGTCTTAAAGTAAACCATATTGATAGAGGAAATAACTTCTTAAATATAAATTTGTTCTGTAATGTGCCCAATATCACTACACAATTTGTTTAGTTTGATTTTCATAATATTTCAGGTCCTCCTCCACCTGGTGCCCCGCCTCCACCCCCACCCAGTGGGGCTGGAGCTCCGCCTCCTCCTCCACCTACTGATGTTCCACCTACAGTAAGCAGTGGAGATGGAGGGCGCACAAGTTTAATGGATGCTATAAGAAAAGCTGGAGGAACAAAAGGGGCAGGGCTTAAGAATGCAAAGGACAAACACGATGAAAAGAAAAAGAAGAAAAAGGAGGAGAAACAGAGTTCAGGCGGTGCTAGTAAAGGAGGCGGAGATTTAATGGGTGATCTATTTGCTAAGTTGACTATGAGAAGAAAAGGTATATCTGGATCAGGCAAAACTGGGGACGGGGGAGGTGGAAAGAGCGAGGGTGCAGGAGTCGGTGATGCGATGGACAAAATATCATCAATGATTCCCGCACCACCAAAACCTGCGGAGAGTAGCAGTCCAACAGGTGGTGATGAAGAAGAGGACTGGGAATGATAAGTTAGAATAGATAGTGATAATTTGTGCAATATGTGATATTGAATTGTGCTAAATTTTGATTAATGTATGAAAGTTTGTTTTGTTTGTTTATTAAGGTAAACCAAATAATTAATGATTCTTTTTTTTTTATCAGAATGATAGGCATGCTATCTTGATGGTAACTTAGTTTTTACGGATATTGTTCTGGACAGATTACAATCATAAAATCTTATCAAACTAAGCTGAGTTGTTAGGGATATGAACTTAACTTGAAAGTGCGTAATTTATTTTGAAATTTATGTAAAAACTGGTAGTTTATTAGTATAAACATACACTCTTTGACTAGCACTTTAAGGCTCACAATGATCAGTTTTTCATACTATTACTTGACATATACATTTGTATATGTATATAGTTGTTAAAAAATGTGAAAAATATTCTTACTTACAATATACAAAACTGTAATTTACTTTGTAAGTTTGAGTCTTTATCAGTATGTTCCGTAGAATAATAAATATATATCATGATTAAGAATGATTTTTTTAAAAATTGTTTAATAATTCTTATTATGATATAAATGATTATTTATATGTAAATTAATGGGGAAAAATGTTAAAACATTCCATAATGATTTAGTTATTTTTTGTTAACAAAAAGGATAACATTTTGATGGTTCATTGCAAAAGGAATGTTACTCCTTCTTTATAATATATGAACTACAGCTGTTTCGTACCAAACCCTTGAATTTATATTAATTTATATTAAGGTCTACCTTGAGTCAAGTTCTTGTGATTTTTCTGCAGACATACATACAAAACAGCTTAATATAGTCAAGACATACAGTAGCCATTTGAAATAATGTTTTATGTACCTATACAAGTAATGTCGCATAACATAATTATGATGTTGGAGCATGGGTCACACTGCCTCACCAGATAGTCTTATCCTTTGTTCTGTGTAATCAAATTATATGATAACATGCTTGATTTTTGCATGTACACTCAGCAATGGGGTGGTAAATATTGTTTAAAAAATTTATAAGTTTGTTGAGTATTCAGTATTTAAATGCTATTGTCCATGACGTATTGTCATGACAGTATTCATATTTATATAAATTTCGGCAGCTGGCAGAGTGAGCCCTTGATTGTACATATAGTTCACAGATATTAATTAAACACATAGAGTTAGAAAACGTCAGTTACATATACTGTCTACAAACATTGATAACACATACAGTTCGCAAAAAAAGACAGTTACATATACTGTCTACATTGATTAAAAACATCAATTCCATATTATACCGTTTACAAACATTGATTACACTTACGGTTCAAAAACATCAGTTACATTTATGACCTTCAGGTTGAACACAGTTGCACCAACTCTATGGCCACCATGAGAAAGTTACTATAAAGTTTCTATGAACTGTTGGTATATTTGATTGATTTCTGTCCTACTTAGTAGCATAAGGGAGAGCATCACATTTGTAATCAATGGGTCACTGGCTGAGACACAGGAAAGAAACCTTTGCAATAATATTAACTTAATATTTTAATGCTCTTATTATTTTACTCTGACAAATTCCACATTCAAATAAATTTCACACTCATCTTTGTATACTTCAGCTTGAGTTTAAGTTAATCCTGCAAAATTGCTTGATTTTATGGTGAAAATATTTTCATACCATAATAAAGTGCACTCAGAGAAAAAACTTTTTTTTTCAAATTATGGACAATAGAAATGGCACCCTATATTTGCCTTGTATATTGTTAATTATCAGAGACTTATGCTCTTTTATATCACAAAGCACAAATAATCATTTACACTTCAGATACATCAGAAATATAGGAGGGACATCTTATATATATCATAATTATATGAAATATACAATACCATTGGATTTTACTGGTGCTAACATGTACTGTATGTACATATATGTGGTTGACTGATTTTTATGTCCTGAATGATTTTATGTTGTTCTGTTATTTGTTATTTATTATGCCATTTCAAACTGAAAACATTGAATACATCATGATGATAAAATTGTTATGTAAATTAGAAGTCAAATGAATTAATCCTGTCCTCTGTTTATGTATCACCATTGTTTGATCAGAACTTCTTACACAAACAGATACCTCTAATTATTGGATATATAGCTATTGTAGAACAGTTTGGGTACCTAACTGGTTAACCTCATTTTGAAATTCTAAGTAATCTCTTACACTGACTATAATTTTCATAAGCAACAGAAAGTATAGATTCAAGTTTAATGGTACAATTTAATATCAATTTATGTTGCTGTACTGTTAACAAATCTGCTCTAAGGTGATTGATCTGTTGAACTTTGTATAACTGGGATAATAAATTAAGAAAAATATATACATGTACATGTGTATTCTTTGAAATCTAGACATGCATATAAGATTTTCTCTGCTTATAATTAGCCTTACCCTGGGGGAATTTACAGTGACCAACCTTTGCCACTAGGATATAACCAAACCAGTCTGCACATCATTGCAGTTTGATAAGGCTCCATAATGTACCAAAAGAATAGCTATCTTTGTGTATTTCTATACTGAAATAATGAATGGAAAATTCAAAGCAGGTCAACTCCATTTTAATATACAAATTTAGCAGGTTATTGTTATATACAGTTAACATTTTCCTGTGCTTTTTATGCCCCCGCCATATAATGGCAAGGGCATATAGTGTTACCCTGTTCCGTCATTCCGTCATTCCGTAATTCCGTCATTCCGTCCTTCCGTCCTTCCGTCATCATCAGTTTCCGTTCATTATCTTAATAACCGTTGCACATATTGAACTCAAATTTGACATATAGATATGTCATGAGAAAATACAGGTCAAGTTCGAAATTGGTCATGGTTCGATGATTTTTGACAGAGTTATGCCCTTTTACTTTGAAAATAATAATGAAATTTTCAAGTTTCCGTTCATTATCTCCCCAACGGTACAACACATTCAACTCAAACTTGACATATGGATATGTCATGAGAAAATACAGGTCAAGTTCAAATTTGGTCATGGTTCGATGATTTTTGGCAGAGTTATGCCCCTTTTACTTTGAAAATAATATGAAAATTTCAGTTTCCGTTCATTTACTCCCAATGGTACACACATTCAACTCAAACTTGACATATGGATAACGTCAAAGAAATGCGCAGGTCAAGTTCAAATTTGGTCATGGTTTGATGATTTTTTTGCATAGTTATGCCCCTTTCACTTTGAAATAATATGAAATTTTCAGTTTCCGTTCATTATCTCCCCAATGGTACAACACATTCAACTCAAACTTGACATATGGATATGTCATGAGAAAAATACAGGTCAAGGTCGAAGTTGGTCATAGTTTGATGATTTTTGGCAGAATTATGCCCCTTTTACTTTGAAAATAATATGAAATTTTCAGTTTCCCGTTTATTATCTCCCCAACAGTATTACACATTCAACCTCAAATTTGACATATGGATATGTCAAAGGAAATGCGCAGGTCAAGTTCAAATTTTGGTCATGGTTCAATGATTTTTGGCAGAGTTTATGTCCCTTTCACTTTATAAATAATATGAAATTTTCAGTTTCCGTTTATTATCTCCCAACAGTATTACACATTCAATTCAAATTTGACATATGGATATATCAAAGGAATGCGCAGGTCAAGTTCAAATTTGGTCATGGTTCGATGGTTTTTGGCAGAGTTATGCCCCTTTCACTTTAAAAATAATATGAAATTTTCAGTTTCCGTTCATTATCTCCCCAATGGTACAACACATTCAACTCAAACTTGACATATGGATATGTCATGAGAAAATACAGGTCAAGGTCGAATTTGGTCATGGTTCGATGATTTTTTGGCAGAGTTTATGCCCCTTTAACTTTAAAAATAATATGAAATTTTCAGTTTCCGTTTATTATCTCCCCAACAGTATTACACATTCAACTCAAATTTGACATATAGATATATTTTTGGAATGCGCAGGCCGAGTTTGAATTTGGTCATGGTTCAACGATTTTTGGCAGAGTAATGCCCCTTTCACTTTGAAAATGATATGAAATTTACAGTTTCTGTTCATTATCAACCCAACAGTGTTACATATTCAAACCCCAAAATTGACATATGGGATATGTCAAAGGAATGCGCAGGTCAAGTTGGAATTTGGTCATGGTTCGATGATTTTTTGGCAGAGTTATGTCCCTTTCACTTTGAAAATAATATAAATACAATCTTAGGAATAAGCAGTTTAAGTTGGAATTTGTTCGTTGTTCTATGATTTTGGACAAACTTATCTTTCCTGAATGTTGAAAAAATGTTGAACTTTCAGTTTCAGCACTCATACTTTTGTGGAAATGTATATATAGCCATTATTTTGGCTACAAATATGCAATATGCTATTTTCAATAGGTTAAGACTGAATAATTTCAGTGCCTTGAACATTGTATAAAAATGGTTTGTGTTAACATTGAAAGGTTTTAAGGGCTTTGAACATAGAATGAAAAAAATAATTTGTGCAAACAAATTTGGAACTAAATATTATAACATTTGAAATTTTGGCTGCATGCGGGGGCATCCGTGGCATGATGACACATTTCTAGTTAAAGATATATTTGGTAGAGATAAATATGTGTGTACTTTTCAATTTGCTGTCATTGTAGATAATGAAATTAGTTTACAAGGGAGACAACTCTTTCAATACTTAGATAATTTACTGAAAAAAAAATTTTTGTAAGTCATTATCTTTTTTTCTGATAATGAACTTTGAATTATGACAGGTTCCATTATACTTTTTTTAATCTCAATAGTTTCAAACATAAAAATAAATGTAAGCAGCTTGTAGAGTCAGACTGCATGGATATGTTGCCTATTGTAGTTCTCTAGCTATGTCCTGATGCTTTATTGTTGACTGACCTGTGATAAATACTCGTTCATGGACCTGATTAAAAGTTGTTCAAATTAATAAATGTTTCAAGTATATATTATAAATGATGTATATGTTTTATTGAAAATAAAGAATTTTATTATTTGATATGTATTTGTTAATTCATACACTGCTGGAACTGAAATTGAGTAGCATAGAGCCAGGACACTAACACTGCCGGTGTAGTCAGGCTGCCTTTGCCATCAATTCAATA